TTTTGAGCTTCTTTGGAGCGGCTTTTGAGCAGCAGCGACTTCGGCAGCGGCTTCGGCAGCAGCAGCAGCGGCAGCAGCACCAGGTGAGGCGGCGGCGGCAGCTCTCGGCGGTCCGGAGCCCGCCCTCCGCCGCTCCCCGCGATGGTGCCTCCCCCGTCCCCCCAGCGTCCCCCCGCAGGGGCTCGCGGCACCGCTCCCCTCTCCCGGTACTGGCAGTGGCGGCGCTGGGCGAGCCGCCGCCGCTGGGTCTGGGTCTGGCGAGGCAGCGCCGCCCCCTGGCGCTCCCCGGCCCGCCCCCAGGCCCCGCCCCGCCTGGGGCTGGCCAGGGGCCGACACCACCCGCAGGTGCCCGGCGGCGGAGCGCCCGCTCCCTCCCCGCCCCGCAGCCTCCCGGCAGCCGCGACCCCCGAGACCCCGGAGCGCGGTGCTGCTGCGGGGGTGCCGTCACCGGCAGCGCGGTCGGGCAAGGTGCCCGTGGTCCTCCTGACCCGCATTGACCCGTCGGCCTATCTGCGCTCCGGGACCGGCGGGGAGCGGCGCGCCGCGGAGCCTCGGCCGGGAAAGGCCGGGAATGATGCGGCTCCGCTCGGCCCGGAGCGCCCGGTGGGGGCCGGCGGGGACCCCGCGCGCAGCGACAGCGGCCGCGTCTGTCGCACGGGGCACGACAAGGAGAGCTTCGAGCGGCTTTACCGCGTGGGACCGCTGCTGGGGAGAGGCGGCTTCGCGTCCGTGTACTCGGGGGTCCGCCTGTGTGACAACAGCCCGGTAAGGGCGGGCCCGGCGGCGGGCCGGGGAGGCGGCGGGGCTCAGCTCAGCTCAGCTCAGCCCAGCGCTGCCCTTGGCTCGCAGGTGGCGATCAAACAAGTGGCTCGGGAGCGCATCTCCTCGTGGGGCGAGCGGGTGAGTGCGCGGGGCCACCGGCACAGTGCGGGGCAGAGCGGGTGGGGGTGAGCCGGTGGGGCCGGCGGGGGGGAAAGTGGGACAGCGAGAGGGGAGTGGGTGTGGAGTCACCAGGGGACACGGGCCGGGTAGGGGTGCAGCAGAGCATCCCTGGGGATTGCGGGGGGCACCTGGGAACAGTGGGGCCGGGCAGGAGGGCATCAGAGCATCCCAGGCAGGGAGGCACAGGAGCCCCGGGCCAGCATCGGCCCTGCTGACAGTGCCGTGGTCCCCCTGCAGCCCAGCGGCACTCGCGTTCCCATGGAGATAGCCATGTTGAGGAAGGTGTGCTCCGGCTGCAGTGCCATCATCCAGCTCCTCAGTTGGTTTGAGCTGCCCCACTCCTTTGTGCTGGTTCTGGAGCGTCCGGAGCCATCGCAGGACCTCTCCGACTTCATCAAAAAATGGAGGTTCCTGCCCGAGGATCTGGCGCGGGGCATTTTCCTCCAGGTGCTGGTGGCTGTGCGGCACTGCCACAGCTGCGGTGTCCTGCACAGGGATATCAAGCCCAAGAACATCATCATCAACTTGGCCACCAGAGAGGTCAAGCTTATTGACTTTGGTTGCAGCACCCTCCTCAGGGACACGGTCTACACCAAATTTAGCGGTGAGCCCACAGCCCAGGGTGCTTCCCGTACCGGGCAGTTTGTGAACAAGAGTCACGTGCTGATGACGAGGTGGCGGGTCACACCGAGTGTGCGTCCCCACGTCCGTGGGGCCACCGGTGCAGCCCCTGCATCCCTGGGGATCCGCGGGCGAGAATCCAGGAGCAGGCGGCATCTGCCTGATGAGGTGCGCCTGTATCCTGTTGTAGGAACACCTTTGTACTACCCGCCGGAGTGGTTCCGCTGGCACTGCTACCACGGCCGTCCGGCAGCGATCTGGTCCCTGGGCGTGCTGCTGTATGAGATGGTGTGCGGGGTCCTCCCCTTCCGGTGCTGCGAGGACATCGTCAGCGGGCAGCTCTTCTTCCAGCGCCGGATCTCTGTCGGTAGGTACCTGGCTTCGCAGCAGCAGGGGAAGGTCGGGGTTTAGGGGGTGGCAGCTGATCGCCCTTGGTCAGCTGGAGGAGGTGGCCCATGTCCTGCCATCCTGCTCTCCTCCAAACCGAGTCATGGAGCAGGAGGTCTGGGTGCAGCTCTGAGCGCACCCAGGCCTGGGCGCTGCGGACGGTGGCACAAGGTAGGCAGGAGCCTCCTGCAACTGAGCGGCATTCCCGGATTCTCCCCAGAATGCCAGCACCTCATCAGGTGGTGCTTGTCCATGAGAGCTCGCGACAGGCCATCCCTGGACGATGTGTTCAACCACCCTTGGCTGCAAACATCCACTGCCCCAGGAGACAGCCGCCCTCCACCCTCACAGCCTGAGCCAGCAGCTGGGCAAGTAAGCTGGGGGTGCCTCTTGGGGGGAGTGTGGGCTTTGGGGGTTTTGGCAGGTTGGGTTTTGCGGAGAGCGGGTGGTTTTGGGTGTTTGGGGGTTTTGGGAGTTTGGTGAGGTTGGGTGTTTTGGGGGGACTTTTGCAGTTATTGGGGGGCTTGTGGGGATTGGTTTCTGGGTTCTTTGGAGAGCAATAGGTGTCAGAGGGATACCTCATAAGAGTTATATCTCCTCCTTGTAGCTGGGGCAGTGGTGAGGTTGGGCTTTAGTCTGAGGATAACGCTGGTAACACACCGATTGTATAGTGGTTTCTGATTAGCACTTACCCTGAGCAAGGCTGATTCAGTCTCTCATGCTCTGCAGTGAGGAGAGACAAGATCTGACAGCAAAGCAACAGACAAAGCGGCTACTCCAACACCAGCCACGAGCACTGCAGCTACTCCAACACCAGCCACAACCACTGCGGTGACACCAACAATGGCAACAGGCACCGTGGCTACTCCAATGGCAAGGACTGTCACTACAGCTACAACTCCAGCAACATGCAGTGCTGCTATTCCAACCAGGGCAAAAAAAGCAGTGTGGCTACTCCAAACTCAGTGACAAGCAGTGAGGCTTCTCAAACCCAAGCCACAAGCACTGCAGGTACTACAAATACAGCGACAGACACATCGGCCACTCAAACGCCGAGGACAGGCACTGTGGCTGGTGCGACCCAATTCAACATGCCCTGCAGTTAATCCAGCCCCAGGCACAAGGACTGCAGTTACTCCACCACCAGTTTTAAGCTCTGCAGCTACTCTATCTCTGGGAAGGAGCAATGGCGCTACTCTAAGGCCTGCTATGTATACAGTGGCTACGACAACCCCAGCCGCAAACACTGCAGCTACTCCAGTGCAAGCCACAACCACTGCAGCCTCTCCAACGCCAGTGACACACACTGCTGCTTCTGCAGCCCCATCAACAAGCAGTGAGGCTTCTCCAACCCAAGCCCTAAGAACTGTGCCTACTGCAACCATGGCAGCAGGCACATGGGCTACTCCAATGCCAAAGACAGATGCTGTGGCTGCTGCAACTCCAGTGATGGGCACTGCAGGTATTCCAACCACATCAACAAGCAGCGAGGCTTCTCCAGTGCGAGCCACAAGCACTGCGGCTTCTCACTGCCATCCACAAGCCCTGCGGCTACTGCAACCCCAGTGACTGGGACAGTGGCTACTACATGGCAACAATAGGCATAAACACTGCAGCTATTCCAGCCACTGCAACAAGCACAGCAGCTGCTGCAGTGCCAGCCACAGCAACGGGGCTACTCTAATGCCTGAGACAGACACTGCCGCTACTGCAACCTCATTGACGAGCAGTGAGGCTTCTCCAAACCAAGCCTCATGCACTGCGGGTACTCAAAGTACCGTGACAGACACATCAGCCACTCGAATGCAAAGGACAGGCGCTGTGGCTACTCCAGCCCCATCAACAAGCACTTTGGACAATCCAACCCCAGGCACAAGCTCTGCAGCTGCTCCACCACCAGTTTCAGGTCTGCAGCTATTCCAACTCTAGGAGGGAGCACTGTCGCTACTCTTAAGGCCTGCAACGTTTGCAGTGGCTAGATCAACCCCAGGCACAAACACTGTGGCTACTGCAAATCCTACCAGAAGCACTACAGCTACTCCAGTGCCAGCCACAACCACTGCAGCCTCTCCAACACCAGTGACCCATCAACAAGCAGTGAGGCTTCTCCAGTGCGAGCCACAAGCACTGCGGCTTCTCACTGCCATCCACAAGCCCTGCAGCTACTGCAACCCCAGTGACTGGGACAGATGCTACTACATAGCAACAATAGGCATAAACACTGCAGCTATTCCAGCCACTGCAACAAGCACAGCAGCTGCTGCAGTGCCAGCCACAGCAACGGGGCTACACCAATGCCTGAGACAGACACTGCCGCTACTGCAACCTCATTGACGAGCAGTGAGGCTTCTCCAAACCAAGCCAACTGCACTTAGGGTACTCAAAGTACCGTGACAGACACATCAGCCACTGGAATGCAAAGGACAGGCACTGTGGCTACTCCAGCCCCATCAACAAGCACTTTGGACAATCCAACCCCAGGCACAAGTACTTCAGTTGCTCCACCAGCAGTTTTCAGGTCTGCAGCTATTCCAACTCTAGGAAGGAGCAATGGGGCCACTGCAACAAGCACAGCAGCTACTGCAGTGCCAGCCACAACAACTGGGGCTAAGGCCTACAACATAGGCAGTGCCTGCAGGGTAGATCAACCCCACCCAGAAGGCACTGTGGCTACTCCAACCCCATCCAAGCTGACAAACACTGCTGCTCCTCCAATGCCATATTCGACAAGCAGTGAGGCTTCTCCAACCCAAGCAAACCTAAGAACTGTGCCTACTGCAACCATGGCAAACAGGCCCATGGGTTACTCCAATGCCAAGGACAGGTCTGTGCCTGCTACAAGCCCTCCCTAAGAACTGTGCCTACTGCAACCATGGTGACAGGCCCATGGGTTACTCCAATGCCAAGGACAGGTGCTGCGGCTGCTACAACTCCAAAGACAGGCACTGCAGGTATTCCAACCACATCAACAAGCAGTGAGGCTTCTCCAGTGCGAGCCACAAGCACTGCAGCTTCTCATTGCCAGCCACAAGCCCTGCTGGAGAAGCCTCACTGCTTGTTGATGTGGTTGGAATACCTGCAGTGCCCATCACTGGAGTTGTAGCAGCCACAGCATCTGTCTTTGGCATTGGAGTAGCCCATGTGCCTGCTGCCATGGTTGCAGTAGGCACAGTTCTTAGGGCTTGGGTTTGAGAAGCCTCACTGCTTGTTGATGGGGCTGCAGGAGCAGCAGTGTGTGTCACTGGCGTTGGAGAGGCTGCAGTGGTTGTGGCTTGCACTGGAGTAGCTGCAGTGTTTGCGGCTGGGGTTGTCGTAGCCACTGTATACATAGCAGGCCTTAGAGTAGCGCCATTGCTCCTTCCCAGAGATAGAGTAGCTGCAGAGCTTAAAACTGGTGGTGGAGTAACTGCAGTCCTTGTGCCTGGGGCTGGATTAACTGCAGGGCATGTTGAATTGGGTCGCACCAGCCACAGTGCCTGTCCTCGGCGTTTGAGTGGCCGATGTGTCTGTCGCTGTATTTGTAGTACCTGCAGTGCTTGTGGCTTGGGTTTGAGAAGCCTCACTGCTTGTCACTGAGTTTGGAGTAGCCACACTGCTTTTTTTGCCCTGGTTGGAATAGCAGCAGTGCATGTTGCTGGAGTTGTAGCTGTAGTGACAGTCCTTGCCATTGGAGTAGCCACGGTGCCTGTTGCCATTGTTGGTGTCACCGCAGTGGTTGTGGCTGGTGTTGGAGTAGCTGCAGTGCTCGTGGCTGGTGTTGGAGTAGCCGCTTTGTCTGTTGCTTTGCTGTCAGATCTTGTCTCTCCTCACTGCAGAGCATGAGAGACTGAATCAGCCTTGCTCAGGGTAAGTGCTAATCAGAAACCACTATACAATCGGTGTGTTACCAGCGTTATCCTCAGACTAAAGCCCAACCTCACCACTGCCCCAGCTACAAGGAGGAGATATAACTCTTATGAGGTGTCCCTCTGACACCTATTGCTCTCCAAAGAACCCAGAAACCAATCCCCACAAGCCCCCCAATAACTGCAAAAGTCCCCCCAAAACACCCAACCTCACCAAACTCCCAAAACCCCCAAACACCCAAAACCACCCGCTCTCCGCAAAACCCAACCTGCCAAAACCCCCAAACCCCACACTCCCCCCAAGAGGCACCCCCAGCTTACTTGCCCAGCTGCTGGCTCAGGCTGTGAGGGTGGAGGGCGGCTGTCTCCTGGGGCAGTGGATGTTTGCAGCCAAGGGTGGTTGAACACATCGTCCAGGGATGGCCTGTCGCGAGCTCTCATGGACAAGCACCACCTGATGAGGTGCTGGCATTCTGGGGAGAATCCGGGAACTGCTGCTCAGTTGCAGGAGGCTCCTGCCTACCTTGTGCCACCGTCCGCAGCGCCCAGGCCTGGGTGCGCTCAGAGCTGCACCCAGACCTCCTGCTCCATGACTCGGTTTGGAGGAGAGCAGGATGGCAGGACATGGGCCACCTCCTCCAGCTGACCAAGGGCGATCAGCTGCCACCCCCTAAACCCCGACCTTCCCCTGCTGCTGCGAAGCCAGGTACCTACCGACAGAGATCCGGCGCTGGAAGAAGAGCTGCCCGCTGACGATGTCCTCGCAGCACCGGAAGGGGAGGACCCCGCACACCATCTCATACAGCAGCACGCCCAGGGACCAGATCGCTGCCGGACGGCCGTGGTAGCAGTGCCAGCGGAACCACTCCGGCGGGTAGTACAAAGGTGTTCCTACAACAGGATACAGGCGCACCTCATCAGGCAGATGCCGCCTGCTCCTGGATTCTCGCCCGCGGATCCCCAGGGATGCAGGGGCTGCACCGGTGGCCCCACGGATGTGGGGACGCACACTCGGTGTGACCCGCCACCTCGTCATCAGCACGTGACTCTTGTTCACAAACTGCCCGGTACGGGAAGCACCCTGGGCTGTGGGCTCACCGCTAAATTTGGTGTAGACCGTGTCCCTGAGGAGGGTGCTGCAACCAAAGTCAATAAGCTTGACCTCTCTGGTGGCCAAGTTGATGATGATGTTCTTGGGCTTGATATCCCTGTGCAGGACACCGCAGCTGTGGCAGTGCCGCACAGCCACCAGCACCTGGAGGAAAATGCCCCGCGCCAGATCCTCGGGCAGGAACCTCCATTTTTTGATGAAGTCGGAGAGGTCCTGCGATGGCTCCGGACGCTCCAGAACCAGCACAAAGGAGTGGGGCAGCTCAAACCAACTGAGGAGCTGGATGATGGCACTGCAGCCGGAGCGCACCTTCCTCAACATGGCTATCTCCATGGGAATGCGAGTGCCGCTGGGCTGCAGGGGGACCACGGCACCGTCAGCAGGGCTGATGCTGGCCCGGGGCTCCTGTGCCTCCCTGCCTGGGATGCTCTGATGCCCTCCTGCCCGGCCCCACTGTTCCCAGGTGCCCCCCGCAATCCCCAGGGATGCTCTGCTGCACCCCTACCCG